TTTTGTGTCTCACATGTCATTCAGTGATTGCCTTTTGGTTTGTGAACACAGTTTTGAAGGTAAGTCTCAATGTCTTCGCGGGCGTTGTGTTTGGGATCAACTCGTGGTGCGGATGTATTGGTGGCCACGATATTGGCCTACAGTTTGTGAGCCACAAACAGATGGACAAACTGTGCGCCCGATTGTGTCGACCAATACATCTCCACACGAGTTGATCCCAACACACATAGATCTTAAGACATTGCGTGTGTGACCATCGCTGACATCATTACTTTTGCAGACACAGACACTGCTGACTGACATTATGGTGAATACTGAGGACACCAAAGATGAGACGAAGCCATTGGTGGCGTCGACGGCCAGCGGTTCCACTGCCGGCGGCGCGAGCGGTGGCGACGACTCCGGGTCGACGACCTCAGAGACCGATTACTACGACTGGGATGAGGACACCGGCGAGTATGAAGTGGACAACTCGTTGGGTTCACGTGCCATACGTCGAGTCAATAACAGCCAAATCAGGTATTGTGTGCCAACACATCCATCGCCGCAATTGATCCCTAAGACTAATACCGAATGATTTTTTTTGATTGGCCAGCGATTTGGCCACAGAAAAGGGCTTTGAGTTCGAGACCGGCGATGAGTCGACCGAAGCCGAGAAGCAAGAGTTGGATCCGTCGGCGGGAAACTACTGGACTCGGGAACAGATGATGAAACACTTGGAGACGTGTCCGAAGCCGGAGTCGAATCCAGAGATGGGCGACGATTGCGATATCTATGACGAGCGGATCAAATACATGAAGGAAGTGGTGAAAGACGGCGTCTATAAGCGATACATGCGTCGGGGCGCCGGTGCGCCAGTCATGGAGAATCAGGCGGTGCTCTACAATCTGAACGCATTCCTCGAGGGTCAGGACGAGCCGTTCGACTCCACATGGCTGAGAGGGCGGCCCAATCTTCACCGCCTGAACTACGACACAGTACTGCCCGGCGTGTGTCGCGCGCTGTTGACGATGAGACGCGGCGAACGGTCTGAGTTTGTGGTGCGCCCGCACTTGGCGTACCTCGAGATGGGTTGTCCGCCGCGTATACCAGAAAACGCCACCATTTTATACATCATTGAAGTGATCCGTGTCTTCGATGAGGGAACTCTTAGCGCGTTGGACGCCATGACCTTCGATGAGAGATCTCAGGTGCCGTTCGCGACGATTGTCGGCCTCTGCGACGACGAACGCAAGTCAGCCAACGCTTACTTCAAAGCCGAGCGCTTCCGGGAGGCGGCCTTCCGCTACCGCCGAGCGATCAGAGTTCTGGAGGACCTGACCTTCGCGTCCGAAGAGGAGAACCGCCGCAGCAATGAGTTGTTACTCAAACTGTACGTCAATATCGGCAACGCGTACAACAAGTTATCCAAACCGTTGTCAGCGGTCGGCAACTGTAAGAAAGCGCTGGCGATTGACCCGCAGTGCGCCAAAGCTGTGTATCAGTTGGGTTTGGCGAAGATGTCGAACGCCGACTACGAGACGGCGCAGCGGCTCTTACGACAGGCGCACCAAATGAAGCCCAAGGATCAGGCGGTGAGCGACGCGTTGACACGTTTGGATCACATGATGAATGGCGAGCGCCTGGCGAAGGAAGAGATGTATCGCAAAATGGGATCTGTTTTTGTGTCGAAGAAGTAGATGTTATAAACAGTTTTTTGTACTTAAAGCACGGGATTATTGTTTTGCCCGAAAAATCATTTTATTATTACTTAATTTCAATCATTATTCTAATTGTGTTTTTTAATCACCACTTAATTTGTGTTCATTTAATTGTAATTGTTTTTAATTAATGTAATTAATGGTATGTTTTGTATGAATCGGATATCTAATTATGTTTCATGTTTGTAATTCAATTACATTTTCAAATTTTATGCCTCAAATCACTGCCAATTAATATGTTTTAATGATTCTGTACTGAAAATTATCAATAATTGTTTTTTTAATTGCATAACTGATTCAATAAATTATGTTTTATATGAATAATTAAAACAAGCATTTGTTGTAAAATTTATGGTAATTTAGTTATGATTACATTCATTAAATTTTCTATTTTTATTTATTGAATGTAAAATGAATTACTGGTTTAAAAACGATCACAAACTTTGAGCATTACATAAATCAACAAATTTATTATAATTTATAAAATGGTATTTTTTAGATTAGTTTTGAAAGTGTTTTATTTAATTAACAATTGAATGAGTATTGAGAATATAATTGTAAATATATGTGAATTTTAAAAAACATTTGTTTTTAATCACGAATCGGTTTTGACAGGCGTTTGACCAGAATTTTCGACATCACTTTCGGTCTCCTTTTTGTCGAAAACACTGAATACAATCAAAATACCGACCGATAGTATGACAAACAGAGCCAATAGGAGAAGTAAATAGTTGCTGATTAGTAAACCAATAAAACCTTTGGTAACTTTACAATCAATTGCAATCATTTTGTCACTGGATTTGCACTTAAAATACATATTTAAACATAATTTGNCTTCGGGAGTGAAGCAATACATGGGCTGACCATTGATGGCGAACCACAACATATGTCCCGCCGATTCAGCGGACACTTCATAGTCAACAATACCCTCTAATTTGTCCAACAATTTGTCGGGCAATTCAGTGGTAATCATCAACGGCTGACACTCTGGCGATTTGCAAGTCGACGGGTCAGTAATGATGGTCAACAGGTTCTTCGGGTCGTCCGATACGCGCAACACTTCCACCGAATGGTCGCTTGTTTTCAAAACTATCACATAATTGTTTGGTCTGTCTTTACGGCCGACAACTGGACTGAAGATAATTCCCTGTCTATAGTAGTGTACGCTATCGTCAAATACAGTGCCTGTGCTTTGAGGTATGGAACAGTTGGTCCCCGAAGACGTTAATCCAGTGTTTTCTGGCGTAATCTTAAAGCCATAATTAACTCATTAGAAGATTATCTGTGATTACACTCTACGGCCAACTCTTACCGTATGGACAACTCTACACTCAAATACCCCATAAAGACCCGGATTATTGGTGTAGCCGTTGGTCGGTATTAGACCAGAAAATATGTTAACAATTGATTTATCGATGGATTCAACACTCGAGACATTACTGGACACACGAAGACCTTTGTTCCCATTGTTTTCTATATGAAATGACCACTCGTTTCCTTTGGCGTACATTTTGTGAGTCGATATCTGCGAAGACTGTTCCCAATGTCTGTATAGTCTGATCCCATTGTAAACGCCATTCGTGTACAGGTATTGACAGATGTCTGAGCAGTGACTACAATTGATCCGTAAAAATATAATTAAAATGATTAGCATTTTTGTTGGACTGAAGTTTTTATATCCAATTTGTTTGTTTGATAATTAGATCTCTATTTGTAATCAATTTAACGGTTATTTAAAGTTTGTTTTAAATAAACTACAATTTTTTAAATCAATTAATATCGAGTTGCAATAAATTAAAATAATTATTAATTTAATTCACTATAAATGTAATAATTAAATGAAATGACAACATATTTGATATTAGAATCCTTTTATTTAAATTAACCATTAATTACACACTTTTAATCATTTGTAATTAACAAATTAATACTTTTAATAGAGTTATTATTAAATTTAATAAACAAATCAATTCTTAATTTTAAACAACAATTTTGAGGGTAAATTATATTTAATACAAACAAAATGTGCGAACGATTTAACGTATAATTAACAAAACATTGTCATTAATAAACAACTTATCTTAATCTTAGGCATGAAATTAAATCCAATATCAAAAAATGAATATCAATTGGAAAAATGCTTCAATTTTTGACAAAAAAACAAAATCAATAATTTTAAACTTATTTCAAAACAAATCGACAATTAATAAAAAAAATCGCATTAATTTCATAGCAATTGTTGTGACAATTATAGCAATTATAGTGTTTTAAGACATTTTCAATTTGAATTGACATTTCAGTAGATATTTGACGTTCACTTGACTTATATCGTAGACAACAAACTCGTTGTACAGAAGCGAACACTTTTGGTCACTCTTAACGGTTGGGCCGGACGGCACTCGAGTCCCGTTCGACATCACGTGATCCTTCATCGGGTCGGGCTGTGTCTGTCCCACACCTTTCACGCTGTGATATCCGTCAGGGGGTGAAACGACATCTGGTTTCGCTATCATTAGATCCCAACTGAAACGACAAATCAATTTTAACTGACATTTAAACACAACCAATGAATCGGCTCAAGACATACGTCTTTCCGACGGCCACTTCGCTGAGCAACAAATAGCCGACATTCTTATTGTATTGATAGTAACAATAGCCGGCGGCCGCAGTGACCATATCCGAGAAATAGATGCCTTTGCCGAACGTATGCCGACCATTGCTGGGGACACCCTTCGGCGCAACGAGGAGACCGTCAGACAAAATACCCACAAAGTTGGTCACCCGTGAGCCGTGCCATAGCAGTAGCCGATTATCCGAGTCCTTGTGCTTCTGGAACCGCTCCGACTCGCCCTCGCGTTCGATCTTAAACGCGTCCACAATGTCCAGTGAGAAGTGATGGGTCGAGGTGTGAGTGTTCTTTAAGTACTTCTCAATTATGTTGAACTCTTGCCCCGTTTTGCTCAACGGCTCGATCGTTGTGCACAATATGCGATAGTGTTGATGAAGTGGATCCGAGTTTTGCATATAGGGTCTGTTTTTCAACATTTTAATGTCAAACTGAATGTAAACGTCCAGAAGCGCGTCCAACATATCCATCTTAGTCTTGATGGCGGCCTCCGTGTCGATCAGCGGCGGCCGTTCGGTACCAAAGTTGTGAGGAATCAGAGTATAGAACTCATTGGTGGCCGACTTCAGTTGGGATGTGTTCTGCGGCTCCTCTTTCACTAATTCGGACAATACTAAGAGATGATATCTGGAGTAAAGTAATTGATTCCTCGACAGTACACCCAATGGCATCTTCTCCATGTCCAGCACGAACTCCAACATCTGTTCCCTCATCTTCTGGACATCAAATATGGAGCAAATGAAGTCCTGGACAGAGAGCGCCAACTTTGACCGCTTCCCGACCTCCAGTTTGGCCATAGAGTCCGTCTGATCACCGGCGAAGTCGATGTCGACCGGGAAGTACTTGTCGGGCACTTTCTGGAAGTGGTGTCGCGCCGACCACTCGTTCCCAGTCTTGTCGACGTAGTGTTCGGTGAAGTAGTGGATGGCGTCGCTGACCGTCGAGAACTCCTCGAGTGTAGTGCCGCCGATGGTTGTGCCCACTCGTCCCCACGCTTTGAACACAAAATACTTGGTCTTTTTGGTGTCGTGTTCAAGAAGTTGGAGCTTATAGAACGAGTTCCGGTTCTTTGACAGATCCACAGCGCTTAAGACAACGCTGTAAACGTCTGATTCCTGTTTGTAGATGTGTGTGACGTCCGCCACTTCGCACTCCGGGTCCACAACGTTCCCGAACTTGAGAACCATCTTCTGTTTGCCGCCACTCTTCATGAAACGGACTAAGAGTTTGGGATCAATTGGTGACAATTAGTGATCAATAGTTTAAGTTATGGTAATGGCTGTGATAATGGTATGGCATGTATTCCTCGTATCTGTACTCAACTCTAGGGCTCGTGAGTTGAGCTCATCATAAGGAGGACAC